TCCTAATGCAAAACCAGATAAAGACACTACAAAAAAGAAAACTACAGGACAATATCCCTGATGACTATAGATACCAAAATTCTTAACAAAAAATTAGCAAATAGGATCCAGCAATACATTAAAAAATATTCACCATGACCAAGTGTGATTCATCCCAGGGATGCAAGGCTGGTACAATATTCGCAAATCAATAAATGTGATACACCACATAAACAAAATGAGAATAAAAACCATATGATCATATCAGTAGATGCTTAAAAAGTATTTAACATAATTCAGTACCCTTTTCTGATTCAGTACCCTCTATTCTCAGCAATGTGGGAATAGAGGGATCATATCTCGACATAATAGAGGCAATATATGAAAAACCTACAGCCAACATCATACTTAACGGGAAAAAACTAAAAGCATTTCCCTTAAGAACAAAAACCAGACAGGGATGCCCACTTTTACCACTTTTATTTAACATAGTACTAGAAGTCTAACCACACCGATTAGACAAGAAGAAACAATAAAAGTGATCCAAAGAAAGAAGGAAGTGAAACTGTCATTATTCGCCAACAATATGATATTGTACATAGAATACCCTAAGACTCCATCAAAAATCTGCTAGATTTAATAAATGAATTTGGCAAAGGAGCAGGATACAAAATTAACATCCAGAAATCGATGTCTTTCTTATACACCAACAATGAACATTCAGAAAGGGAAAGTTAAAAAAAATCCTATTTACCATTGCAACAACAACAACAAAATAAAATACCCAGGAATAAACTTACCCAAGGAGGTAAAAGGCCTGTTCTCAGAAAACTATAGGACATTGGGGAAAAACAAAACAAAACAAAACACATGTATATATAAAGAATTGGAAACGTATACCATATTCATGAATAGTAAAAATCAACATCATTAAAATGTCCATACTACCCCAACAATCTACAGATTCAGTGCAATCCCTATTAAAGTACCAGTGGCATAATTCACAGATCTAGAACATATACTCAAAAAGTTTATATGGAACCATAAAAAATCCTGAACAGCCACAGCAATTTTGAAAAAGAATAACAAAGTGGGAGGTATTACAACACAAAGCCATCATAATCAAAACAGCCTGTTACTGGCACAAGGACAGAAATATAGATCAATGGGACAGAGCAGAGAACCTAGATATCAACCCAAGACAGTATGCACAGTTAATATTTGACAAAGGAGGCAAGAGCATACAATGGAGAAAAGACTGTCTTCAAAAAATGGTGCTGAAAAAATTGGACAGCTATATGCAAAATAAATACATAAATAAATAAAAGATCACCAAATTACACCATACAGAAGAATAAACTCAAAATTGATAAAATACTTAAATGTAGCCCCTGGAACCATAACAATCCTAGAAGAAAATGTCGGCAGAAAAACTCAGATGTCATATGTAGTGGAATTTTCACTGATACATCACCTAGGGCAAGAGAAAAAAGGAATAATTTAATAAATGGACTAGATCAAACTAAAAATGTTTCTGCACAGCAAAAGAAAGAAGCATCAAAATTGAAAGGAAACCTACTATATGGGAGAACATGTTTGCCAACAATACATTGGATAAGGGGTTAATATCTAAAATATATAGAGTACTCATACAACTTAACAAAAGGAAGACAGAAATCCAATTTAAAATGGTCAGAGAACCTGAATAGACACTTCTCTAAACAGGACATACAAATGGTCAGGAGACATGAAAAAATGCTCAACATCTGTAATCATCAGAGAGATGCAAATTAAAATGGCTATGAGGTATCACCTCACACCTGCCAGAATGGTGGCCATCAACAAATCCTCAAACAACAAATGCTGATGAGGATGTGGAGAAAAGGGTACTCTAGCACACTGCGGGTGGGAATGCCATCTGGTGCAACCACTATGAAAAACAATATAGTGTTTCCTCAAAACATTAAAAATTGAAATGCCATTTGACCCAGTGATCTCACGTCTAGGAATATATCTTAAGAAGCCTGAAACACTGATCAGGAAGAATATATGCACCCCGATGTTCATAGGAGCACTATTTACAATACAGTCATCCCTTGCTAGTTCGTGCTTCACCTTTCGCAACTTCACTCTATTTGAAAAAACCATGATAGTGCGAAGCTGCAAAAGGCCAAGGACAAAGTGGCGAGGGGCGACTGTATAAATAAAGAATCCTACTTCGTGGAAATTCATTTATCATGGTTGAGTCTGGAACTGATTAACCATGATAAACGAGGGCTGACTGTAGCTAAGATTTGGAAACAGCCCAAGTGCCCTTTAGTAGAGGAGTGGATAAAAAAGCTGTGATACATTTATACAATGGAATACTATGCAGCTGTAAGAAAGAGATCTCTTACACTTTGAGACAACATGGAGGGGCCTGGAGAGTATTATGCTAAGCTAATTAAGCCAGTCAGAGAAAAACAAGTAGCACATGATCTCACTTATTTGTGGAGCATGTTGAACAGAATAAGAAGTCGAGCAAAACACGTCCAGATTCATGGCTTAAGGAACAGACTGACAAACCTCAGAGGGATGGGGTTGGGAAGAGTTGGAAGATATAAACCCAAGAACTTATATGCATATATGCACAACCAATCAACATGGACACTAGGCTGGGGATGGCAGGGACGAAGTGGGAGCGGGAAGGAGAGGGTGAGTGGGAAAGAAAGGGGGACATCTGTAATACTTTCAACAATAAATAATAAAAATAAAACAGTGGTGTTAACAAACATCCTTCTACTTTTTATTACTCTTACTTGTAGAATCACACAGCTGTTTTTAAAAACTAGAGTAGTGATATTAACAAAAGTTTTCCACCCTGGCCAGTTTGGCTCAGCTGTTAGATCATCGGCCCTTGGTCCAAAGAGTCGTGGGTTTAATTCCTGGTCAAGGGCACATGCTTTGGTTGCATGTTCAATCTCTGGCCTGGTCGGGGTCATGCAGGAGGCAGCCAATTAATGTGTCTCTCTCACTTCGATCTTTCTTTCTTTCTTTCTTTCTTTCTTTCTTTCTTTCTTTTCTTTCTTTCTTTCTTTCTTCCTTCCTTCCTTCCTTCCTTCCTTCCTTCCTTCCTTCCTTCCTTCCTTCCTTCCTTCCTTCCTTCCTTCCTTCCTTCCTTCCTTCCTTCCTTCCTCTCTTCCTCCCTTCCTCCCTTCCTCCCTTCCTCCCTTCCTCCCTTCCTCCCTTCCTCCCTTCCTCCCTTCCTCCCTTCCTCCCTTCTCTCTCTCTCTCCCTCCCTCCCTCCCTCCCTCCCTCCCTCCTATTCTATCTAAAAAAATCAATGAAAAAATATCCTTGGGTGAAGATTAAAAATCAAAAATAAAATAAAAATTTGCCCAGCCAGTGTGGCTCAGTGGTTGAGCATCAACCCATGCACTGGGAGGTTGCAGGTTTGATTCCTGGTCAGGGCACATGCCTGGATTGCGGGCTTGATGCCCATAGGGGGTGTTCAGGAGGCAACTGGTCAATAGTTCCTTTTTACGTTGATGTTTCTATCTCCTTAGAAAAGAAAAAAAAATGTTCTATTTGATAGTTCATAATTTTAAAATAAAGCCAGTGTAAACCGAACTTTTGGAACAATAAGAATGAAAACTAGCATCATACACACTTGCACATATACAAGGTGGGGCAAAAGTAGGTTTACAGTTGTGAATACACAAAACATAGTTTATTCTTGTATTATATATTAATCAATGTATTATTGCATTATATTAACTGTAAACCTACCTTTGCCCATCCCTGTATCTAAAATGTGTCTAAATATTTTAAACAATAATAGTTACCATTTAAAGATCACCAACATTATTTCATTTATCCTCCCAACACAGTGGGATAGGTACTATTAGTGTTCCCAATTTATAGATGAGGTAACTGATTAGAGAAAGTTTAGAGACTTGTCCAAAGTCCCATAGGTAGCATCAGAGTGAAGACTGGAAAACACTGTGTATTCAACAATAAAATGACTACCTAATTGAAAAGAGGGCAAAGGCTTTTAATAGACATTTCTCCAAAGATGTACAACTGGACAATAAGCACAAGAAATGGTTCTCAACACAATTAGTTGTTTAGGAAATGCCAACCAAAACTATAGTGAGATTCCACTTTATACCCATTTGGATTGACTATTTATTTTGAATGGGAAATAAGAGTGTTGGGGAGGATGTAGATAAAGTGGAACCCTCATACTTTGTTATTGGGAAAGTAAGGTTGTGCAACCATTGTGGAAAACAGTTTGCTGGTTCCTCAAAAAGTTAATCATGGAATTGCCTTATTACCCAGCAATTCCACTCCTAGTTATATACCCAAGAGAAATGGAAACATAGGTTTGCACAAAAAACTTGTACATAAATGTTTATAGCAGTATTGTTCAAAATAGCCAGAAGGTGAAAACAACTCAGATGTCCACCAACTGATGAATTCATACATAAACATAAAATGGAATATCCATTCAATGGAATACTTTGTACGACCATACAAAGGAATGAAGTACTGATACATCTTACAATGTGGATAAATCTTGAAAACATTGCTAGGTGATAGAAGTGAGACAGAAAAGATCACATAGTGTATTATTCTATTGATTTAAAAGCTCAGGGATTAGAGGGACAGGAGAAAATGGGGGAAATTTGGAGTGACTGCTAATAGTTATGGGGTTCCATTTAGGGGATAAAAGGGTCTGAAACTGAATCATGGCAATGGTTGCCCAACTCTGGACATATTATAAACCATTGAATTATAACTTTAAACATGGGATTACATATTGTCCAGCATTATAAAACCAAAGAGAGCCCTTAAAATATTGTTATTTCTTAAATGTCTGTCCTGGACTCTTTTGGTGGGGTGATCTCCAATGTCATGCCCTCAGTTGCTAAATTTCTGTGAAGAACAGATTTTTCTTTTCTCCAGACAGTTCTCTCCTCTGAGCTACAGAGTTATATTTGAGGCTGACTACTAAAGAGGTGCACTTGACTTTCCTACAGGTCCCTCAGGAGCAGCACTGTGTCTAAAACAGCTCAAAATCACCTTCACTCACAAATCTGGACCTTCTGTATTTCCTGTCTGACTGGATGATGTTCCCATTTACCATCATCGAAGTGATAGACCTCCAAGTTCTATCACTCTTTTCCTCAAACAACTCTACCTACTCTTTACCATCCTCATGTGAGTTGAACAGCTGTGGTTCAGGCCCTGAATGCCAAAGTGAATGCTGTCATGTGCAAGTATGTGCTTGGTCCCTTGTCCTGCCTTGCCTCTTGACATCTTTTTTAACAAATTTATTGTTGATGTTAATACAGATGTCCTCCATTTCCCCTCCTTTGCCCCCCTACACCCAGCTCCTGCCTTACCCCAGGCCTTCATCACAGTATTGTCTGTGTCCATGGGCTATGGCTACATGCATATATATTCTTTGGTTAATGTCTTCCTTGACATCTTTGTTCTCTTATATATTTTTATTCATCAATAGGAGAACTTGTAGATCATTTAATCACTCAGTGTCATCTTGTGCCTTGGGTGTGTGCACATGCTGGCTCCTCTACTGGATAGTCCCCCTTACTTTTTTTTTAATCCTTACCCAAGGATATTTTTTTCCATTTTTTTGTTCAGATAGAGTGGGAGAGAGAGAAAGGAAGAGAGAGAGAGAGAAACATCGACGTGAAAAGTGCACATTGAGTGGCTGCCACCAGCATGGCCCAACCAGGGCGGGGGACAAACTGCAACCAAGGTATGTACCCTTACCGGGAACCGAACCTGGGTCTCTGGACCGCAGGCCGATGCTCTAACCACTGAGCAAAAATGGCCAAGGCTCCCCCTTACTTCTTAGCCTAGTTTAACCTCTTTTCATCTTTGTAAGACTTGTTTCAGGCATCACATTTAGGAAGGCTGTGCTAATCCCTAACTGGGTTTGAGCTAGACAACCTCCTTGCCCACACTTGCCTGTAGATCTTCTGATGTTAGATTCACCACACTGGGTTGTCCTGATTTATTTGAGTGTCTGTGTTCTCTATTAAACTGTGAGCTTTTAGATGCTCCAGCAGAAATCCTTATCTAGTTTCTGTGTGTGTGTGTGTGTGTGTGTGTGTGTGTGTGTGTGTGAACAAGGTGTGTGTCCTTCCTTTAATCATGTAATCTCTATCTCAGAGAGACCTTCCTGTGCAATCTTATCTAAAATTGCATCCTTCCCCAATACTTATTCTTCTTCCTTGTTGTTGTTCTCATGACGTATTACTGTTTACCAAAATATGTATTTTACTTTTTTATTTTCTGTCTTCTCCCACTAGAATATAAGCTCCGTGAGGAAAGGGAGTTTTGTATTTTTTTAGCTGTCATATTCTCACTGCCTAAACCAGTACTAGGCACATGGTAGGCATTAAATGAATATTTGTTGAATGATTGAAAAATGTTTGCTTCATTTGCCTCAGAGAGTACAGTTAACTCTTGAACACTGTGGGGGTTAGGGACACCAACTCTCCTCACATTTGAAAATTCACATACAACTTTTGACTCACCCAAAATTTAACTAAGAGCTTACTGTTGACTGGAAGCCTTACCCATAATATACAATTGATTATCACATGTTTTGTATGTTATTATACACTGTATTATACAGTATTATACACTGTATTGTATTATACTCTGTATTGTACAGTATTATATACTGTATTCTTACAATAAACTAGAGAAATGTTATTAAGAAAATAATGAGAGAAATTACATTTACAGTATCTTTTGAAAACAATCTGCGTATAAGTGGACTCATGTAGTTCAAACCCATGTTGTTAAGGATCAACTAACTGTATATATTAGGAGTGTACTGTCTGGAGCCAGAATACCTGATTTCATTTACAACACATGATTTTATTTTTATCTTTGTGACCATGAACAAGTTACATAATTTCTCTGTGTCTGTGTCTCCTCTTCTGTAAAATGGGGCTAATAGTCATATTTACTGTACATTGTTTTTGAAGATTAAATAAGTAGGCCTATATAACATATTATAAGAGTACCTGGTATATAGTAAATGCTCAATAAATACTCATTACTGTTATTCTTCTTTTAGGACATTGCCTTAGAAACACTACATGTTTGTTTCTTCATTTCCAGAAGCTAGTCTGGTATTGCATGTTTTGAAAGTATGAAAAAATTCATTGTGAAATGAATGTTTGAATGGAATTTAAATACATTATTCAGAACTTTTTTTTTTCTTTATATTAGTGTTTGGAATTTTTAACAGTTACTATAGTGGTTCGTGTTTAAATTAGATATGTGACCTGGCCAGTGTGGCTCAGTGATTGAGCATTGACCCATGCACCAAGAGGTCGTTGGTTCAATTCCCAGTCAGGGCACATGCCTGTGTTGTGGGCCAAATCCCCAGTGGGGGCATGCAGGAGGCGGCCGATTGATATTATCTCTCATTGATGTTTCTATCTCTCTTTCTTTCTCCCTTCCTTTCTCTCTAAAGTCAATAAAGGAAAAAAAAAATTAAAAAACATATTAAATTAGATATGCGAATACCTGAAGAAAACTGTAACCATTTTAGACAATAATGGGAACTCTGAACTTTGACCTTTATTAGAGCAGTAAGCCCACTCACTGTCTGAGCTTCTGTAGGAGCCTCTTCAGTATTTGAGGAATATTGATGCTAGTATAGGATTACAGGTTGTGATTGGGCTAGTGGATCTGTCTCAATTGAGACCTTTTTAACTCAGGTTGCTTTATTTCATCAGCTTCAGAGTCTTCCATTTTTTTTTTTAACATATATATGCTTTATTGATTTTTTTTTTTTTATCCTCACCCGAGGATATTTTTCCATTTTTTGTTCAGATAGAGTGGGTGGGGGAGAGAGAGAGAGAGAAACATCAATGTGAAAGGGACACATCGAGTGGCTGCCACCTACATGACCAACCAGGGCCGAGGACAAACTGCAACTGAGGTACGTGTCCGTAGCGGGAACTGAACCCAGGTCTCTTCGGACCGCAGGCTGGTGCTCCAACCGCTGAGCCAAATCGGCCTTCCATTTTTTGTAGCCAGGAAAGTAATAGTTCCAGGTTTATAAAGACTGACATCTAGTCAGGATTGGCAAATCTTATTTTTTCCCCAGAAGCTGATACTAAAAAGGCAGAAAACTACCCATCTTGGCATTCTGGAAAGTGGAACTGTATGTGTACTAAGCTCCATCTGGCAAAAGTAGGATTTAATATATGCTCCTTACAGGTTTTTTCAGAACATGGGGACACTGGTGGTGGTGATAAAATGAACATTTACTGAGTGCCAGCTATGGGTCAGGCACTCTATACATGTTATTTTGTTCAGTCTTTTTAGAAATGTAGTGTGGCTCCAATTTACAAAAATGGAAACTGAGGCACAGAATGGTTAAGTAACTTGAAAAATATGACATACCTTGCTATTAAGTGGCAGGACCATGGTTTTGAACCGAGGTCTTTTTGACCCCCACTATCTGTATCTACCACACACTTTGATAAGAAATCAGACCATTGTTCATCTTGGATGCTAATAGTTGGCAAGTTTTTGCTACTTTTCAAAAATTGGCACTAAGTAAAAGCAACTTTGGATTTCTTAAAGTTGAGAGATTTGTAGCTCCATTTGTAAGAAGTAAAGTCCAAAAAATATACTGGAAAATATATTCAGCAAATGAATTAAAAATTAATAGCTGTAAAACTATACTTTAATATTTATATCACACATACACTGTAATTTATTTTATGTAAATAAACTACAAAATTATTGTAAGTGTATAGAGAATTTAATATTACATGTTTCAGTTATTCTTAAATAGTTTTTTTACTAATACTTTTTCTTTGAAAAAATTTTACGGATATTTTTTCTTATATTGTCAACATTTTTGGGAAATTTTGCATTTTCCATTAATAAAATTGTTCTAACTTCTCTTTTAACACTGTAGCAGTATTTGTATGTGTTATCAGTCCTTTACATTTGAATAAAGCTTCTTAGTAAGTACATACCACAGGGGTTGCTCTGTGGCCCTGATGAGTACTATTTTATAAGCTTCTCAGGAATGAGAAAACAAATGTATTCTCCTAAGTTGTAGAATTAATAGAAAAAAACATGTTGAAATTAAAGTCCACAAGTAACAAACTTCTCCCTGAATAAGTCGCTATGCAGCACAGAGTGTAATAACAGTAGCTCCAGCTATATTGCTAACACAACTGTCATGTCAATCCTATGTCCTGTGTTTCTTCTTCTTTGAGGGTTTCTGTACTTATCAAAACAAATCAAAGTGCTGTGTGTATTGCTGGTTCTCAGGAATTAATCAGTTTCTGTGGTAACTGTTTAATGCAGACACAGATGCTGTAGCAGTCACTCCCCAAGGTACCATGTGCCTAAGGCATTTAAAAAACTAGTGTGTTTTCTGTATGATATTGCTGCACTGTATACATAGTGGTTTACTTTTTCAGTGTGTTTAGAGCTGACATTTCTAATACATAAATAGATTTATGGCTGATTTTGTTTTGTATTTGAGCTCTGCTGCATAACTAAAAGACTGAATGATTTAGTTATCCTCTCTGTCCCTCAATTTCTTCCTTTCTAAATTGGGGTGATAAAAATTACTTCATAGCTCTGCTGTGGGGCTTATTCAACAAGATTATATAATCTTGATTTATGTATTTGCTTAAGACAGTGTAGTATTGGGGTTAAGGATGCAGGCTTGAGAGTCTGTTGATATACAAACCTTGGCTCTGTTCCTCCTTAGCCACCTGACCTAGAATAAGTCAAATAATCTCTTTGTGCTTCAGTTTTCTCATCCATAAAATGGGGAAACTTGCCAACTATTAGCATTCAAGATGAACAATGGTCTGATTTCTTATCAAAGTGTGTGGTAGGTACAAATAGTGGGGGTCAAAAAGACCTCGGTTCAAATCCATGGTCCTGCCACTTAATAGCAAGGTATGTCATATTTTTCAAGTTACTTAACCATTCTGTGCCTCAGTTTCCATTTTTGTAAATTGGAGCCACACTACATTTCTAAAAAGACTAAACAAAATAACATAGCTACCTATGTCATAGAGTTGTTATAAAGGATAAATGAGTTAATACATATGAAATCCTTTAAACAATACCTGGCGCATGGTAAATCTTCAATAGATGTTAACCATTATTGCCAATATTATCTCCACTTCTCAGCATGCAATATCAGTGTTTGCTTATTGTGCTTAGTAAACTGAGACCTTCTTTTTTTTTTTTTTCTGAGACCTTCTTTATGTCTTTTGAGCCTGGCATATAATACGTACTTAATTAATGAATTAGTGAGTGAAGGGATACCTTTGTGTTTCCTACATTTGTCCTTTACCCTCTCCATTTCCTTATAAACTAATCTCTTTCTCCATGTATTTTTTGCAGCTGGACTTACCATGTTTCCTAGAACAAAATTTTGGGGTACTTGGTCTAAAAACCAGAACATTGTTGTTACATCCAGGTGTACTATTTATCAGTGTCATATTTCTGCCTCATTTAGATGTACATCTCCTCCCCTACTTAACTGCAAGGGAAAGGGATATTATCTTCTTTCTTTCTGGTCCTCAGTACCCAACATAGAATCTAGAGTATAGTATGTGCTCGATAAATGATTGTTGAATTGAACAAGGAATCAGAGAATGAGTTTACCCTTCTCAAGATGGA